ATATACATAAAATCTTAAACATATTAAACCCAATAAGAATAGTGATAATATATTGGTAAAGTGAGAGACAAGTTGAAGAAGTTTGGAATAATAAATGGTTCATGTCTTATAAGCTGTATATAAGTGCTCTAAAGGTAAGGTCGCTATTTTCAAAGAGCATATTGGAAACTTAGGATAGGAAGTGGTTTGTCGGCAGACGTTAACCATTGCAAGACTTTACCTGGAATTGAAACACACGTGCAAATTGCCCTTTGTAAGTGTCTATCTTATATCAGATGAAAGGAAAAAACTACATGCGCCGATCGAGACAAATTTATTCATAATTCGATATACGCGCATTTCATTTCTGTCGCAAAGAAAATGACAAAATGAATATGTCTTCCTGCGTTGGTGATGGGTATAAAAAAAATCTGCTCCCAAAATAAAAGCCGATAAAAAAACAAAAAGAGGAAAAATTTGCTAAAGTTTAACTGATAAGTGAACCAAAAAAAAAAAAGAAAAAAAAAGAAAACAAAAAGAAACATTCAAATAATAACACAGCATTATAAACAAATGGTCAAAAATCGTTTAGCTCAAGTTAAGGTGAACAAACAAAGTCGTGCAGCGAAGGCTTCCAATGAGAATGCAATGTAAAGCTTCTTATTCGCTTATTCTCTGCTATAATAACACAAAATGCTTTATTATTATTATTATTATTATTGTTAATATATCTTTTTTCACCAGTTTGTTAACCTTTTTTAAAAAGAGTTTAATAAACTTTTCTTTCGTTTTTCTAATTAATCGTTTCACAGTTTCTTTAGAATTCTTCGCAAAATATCTTTTAACATAAGTTTCTATGATCGTCAGAAATTCATTAGAATTAAAATTGGTCTGAACTTTTTAACAATAACTCAACCACACGAATGCTACTTTTAGTGAATGTTGTTATACCCTACATTGCTTGTGGTGCAAAGGGTATGTTAAGTTTATTAGGACGTATGTAACACCCAGAAAGGCTTAAGATTAACCTAACTTTCATTATACCGATCGATTCAGAAAATAATTCTGATCTAAGTTTACTTGTCCGTCTGTCCGTCTAAAGTTTGTCCGCCATACAAGTCACAATTTTTGAGATATTTTGTTAAAACTTTTGGTACTAATGTACTTTAACCTAAGCGTTATTCGGATCGATCCACATTCTCATCTCCTCCCTGTATAACGCCTTATTTTAAAAAGTCTTTATACGGAAAAAATTATAATTTACAAAATTTCTCGACAAAATTTGCTAAGCGATAGTATTTCGATATTCTAAGTTGGTATGAAAAATATGGTTCGGCTGAAGCAATTTTTTGAGCCGCCATATAACTCCATATACCCAATCCTACGAAAACTTTGTCTTTATATGACAAAACGATGTGTTTTTACAATATTTCACGGTGAACATGGTGGTATTTCGTAATAGTAAATTGACGATCAACGGTCAACCTTAGCAAGTTTGAACCATATAGACCTAGTTTTTGGATACCACCCCATATAAGGATTCTGAATATTTTATGAAGAAATTTTTTTCATAAAATCTAAGTAGACCAATTTTGAACCACAAAGATCCATTTCTTATACACCACACCCTAGAAGATTTCTCACAAATAGTAAGCCCTTCACAAAAAACTCCGATTTTTAATATTTAATGATGAAAATTGGCTTAGTAAAAAAGTTTATAGTAGAGAATTTGATTCAGATCGATGTATCCTTTAGATCCTAACATATGTAGGGGTTACCATGAAGAGCTAGTCCTTCTATGGAGAGAAAGTATAATTTCTAATTTTTTATGACGAAAAACTAAAAAATAATTGAATTTTTAAAAGGTAAATTTGGATGACACCATTTGACGCTTTGGGCATCCGTCCGTATGCGGCCTTTCATGAAAAAGATGCCTTTGCAGGAAAGTGATATGTAATTTTTGGTGTATTATTGCCAAGACGAGTCAATAACTGTATTAGGTGATTCCGTGTAGAGCATTTAAAGGCGACTTCGCCCAACTACAATATTCTTAATAGTTTTCTTTTGTTTTCGTGGATTTTTAAAAGTATTCAATTTTAACGAAATTACTGATCGATCAGCGAAAAATCTGAACGCTCTCGTTTTTATTAAAAGCGCTGCAAATTGGCTTTCTTTGCAAATTTTTCTTCTTTTTTTTTTCTTCCATATAAACATATATCTGAGAAGTTCATTGCGAGTTCTATGACCTTAATTAGGTGAAAGGAAAGGAGAAATAATTGCATTTTATGTTAATTATAGCGAAAGTATTTCAATTTCAATGAATCGATGAATATGTGAGATAATAAAAACTCAATTTAATTTAACCTTAACGAAACAAAATTAATCTTTGTATTATAATAAGTTGAACATTTTTGAAATATTTCTCGACAAGTTTGTCGAAATCCTTTTCGAATTTTTTATTTTTCTCAGACTTTAAGCATATTCCATGCAATTGATACGCAAATATTGCGGATACACCTCAAAGGGGTGCATGGGCAGACAACAGCTGGCAAACCTGTAAACGAAGGACGGGCAAGCATGTGTCGGAAGAATAGACCCCACAGAGAAATAGAAAACTGCAGATCGTCACACGCGCTCACACAGAGGAACGGACTGAGAATGCAAATGAATCGATCCCCAACTTCAGCGGACCACAAGTATATTTATTATACACTTTAGTTAAAAATGTGATGATCACGTTTAGTCGATAAAAGTGAAAGAGGACGTTCCATTATAACCCGATATTTGATATAAAAATATTCGATCTAAAACGAATGCAAACCGCATTTTCAATTTGATTTTAAGCAAACATCGCGTAACGCGGGGAATAAAGTATTGACCCTTTTTCGCGCGACTTAACACTTGCAGCCCAAATTCCTTGCACGACAACTCCTTTCTGAGTCAAGTCAAATATCATGTAATAATTAAGATTGGAAGCGTGTAAAAAAAAAAGGCTAAAATTGTTTCAATCAATTGCAATTTATCGACTGAAATTTCCTCAATATAATGTTTCAATACCAATAGCTGTACTCTCAACTTAGATTGACAGAGTTTAAACATATTTTTGACAATATTAGTGAAGCGGAGACAAACGAATAGTTGTGGTGCGAAAAGTGATCGCAAATGAAATATTAAACCAAAAATATTTATTTCATTCATAAGTGTACAATTGATTTCATTGACATATATTCAACAATATTCGTAACATCGTTAAGCACTTTAGAACGTCGACTCATGTAAGAATTGTTCGATAGTTTCTTTACTTTTTTCTGACCGTCACTGGACTACGCGTATAGCAATCATCCTCATGGTCATATGAAAAAAGAAAAATAGATGCAATAAGGCCGAGAGGGTTGCGTGTTGTTGTGGAGTAAGAAGCTTAAAAATGCTTAGTAATTGGCTTTAAATTCGAGACGATAAAGATAGTTTGGGAGTAAAACTTGATTCTATCTTGATTATATTCCTTCTTTTGAATTCATATGTTTTTCAATCGAATTTCCATAACTCCTTTTGAATTGTAAACAATTTCGTATGTTTGTTCCATACCTCCTTTTGAATTCATATGTTTTTCATATGACTAATATATATTAGTTGGATGAAAAAAATTTTGAAGAGAGAGATAGAGATGAAACGCATATAACAGTTTAAATAATATATGTTCTCGTATTGTTATGATTATTTTTTATAAATGAAAAATATAAAAGTAAATAAATAAAAACAAATCACTAATTAATTCAAGCACTCATTACTTGAAAAAAGGTATTAACCAAACACTAGAATAGTTAATAATTATTAAACAACCCATAAATGAACATAAATCACCTTGCAAGCACTTACCTTACTTGATATGTTGGAGTTATGGGTGATGGTAATTTTTGCGCTATGATGTTTATGCTTTAACATACGTTTTATGATATAAAAATTAAAAGTTCTTCATTGATTAAAAATGAAATTTTATCTGGTAGGATCTATTAAAAGGAATTCACCAATAATTAGTAATAATAATCTTTATTTTTATCCATGAAAGAGGGAGACAGAGAAACCTTCACTTATGCTATTTAAGAAATGCGCATTTGAGACTCTGGAACAGTTTATGACAAAGTCATAGATAAGCACTATTTACTTTCACATATTCTTATAAAATATCACAACACTACTTTGAAATATGCAATCTCGCCTTACTGGTTGCGCACAAAATTTATTTTCTAACTTTCTCTTCTTTTTTGTCTTATAAGAATACCTCACTGATGTCTATCAAAAAGCGCGCACTCTCTTCCTTTTCTTCTTCTTTTTGTCTTTTCCAACATTACAGCAATCTGCATTAAGATAACATGGAGAAAGAAATTGGTTTATTTTTCAACTCTGCACTATTTGAAGTTTACTTACATTTTACGATAAGCAGGGGAAATATCTAACGGAATAACTTCATACAATAAATACAACAATCTTCATTGGATTTTAAATTTCGTTTTGTTCCATTCCATTATTGCACTTCTACAAGACACAAACCATAAACTTCTCTCCCCTCAAATAGGATTATTCATTACTTACCATTTATTCAGTTTATTCTTGCAGAGTAAACCATCAAGTTTCATATATTTACTTTTTCTAAAAATATAGCCATGTCAAATGGGAAAGTTTCAAGGTCAACACAAAGCTCTACTTCTAAACTTTGACAGAGATAAAACTTAGTTTTTGTTACAATTTTATTATTTTTTCTTCTTCTATTCAGCAAATCAACAACTGAAAATTTGCTGAGGTCCAATTGAGCAATATTATTATTTTAATTATTTATGCTTTTGTTCTTTATATTTTATGATTAATCTCATTCCCCATTCAAGTATTATGATCAGCAACATGTTGCCTTTTATATTGTTAACATAAATTCCATGTTGCTTTAGTTCTCAATATTATCATTTTCAATCAGCTGATCATTTACTAGACAATTTTAGTTAATCATCGACACCCTGTGCAATTGTAATTTATTTCTTGTTAACAGCTGTTCTATGCTTTTCTTAAATACTTGAATATTTTTCATTTTTCATTTGCACTTTTATTCTATTGAAAAGACTATTTTAAAATAATTAGTGGGCGAACAAAAAAATAAAAAAAAATATTTCCTTTACAAATGGATGAAGAATTGCCGAAAGAATTTGATTTGATAGTTATTGGGACAGGTAAGTAAAAAAAAAAAAAAAAAAAAAAAACAGTAAATAATGATTCATTGTTTTCTTTTATATAGGTTTTCCTGAAACTGTAGTGGCGGCCGCGGCTAGTAGAATAGGAAAAACTGTTCTACACATAGATCCTAATGAATATTATGGAGGCTCGTGGTCTTCTTTCAGTTTGGAAGCATTTATTATGCTAATGGATGGCAGGGCCATTAGAAATCGGGAAATAACCCATTTTCAATATCAGTGGCATATACCTTTAGAAGCCGAGGAAGAGATGCAAGAGCAATGCGAAGCTAACAACCAAAAGTGGTCTGTGTCTCGGTTGATGCAGCTTTCACGTAAATTTAATATAGATTTATGTCCAAAAATTTTGTACTCGTCTGGTAAGCTAGTGCAATTATTGATTTCCTCGAATATATGTCGCTACGCTGAATTTCGAGCCATTGATCGCGTTTGTACGGTTTATCAAAATGAATTACTTAACGTTCCTTGCTCGCGCAGCGACGTTTTTAATACCAAAGATTTGAATATTGTTGAAAAACGTTTATTAATGAAATTTCTAACAACTTGCATGGCGTACGGTGAGAACAAATGTGAGGAAGATTCTGTAGAGTTTCGTGGTCGACCTTTCAGTGAATATCTAAAAAAACAACAAATTACTGAAAAAATTAATCGCTGTATTATGCAAGCGATAGCAATGGTTAACGAAGACACTAGCTTTGAAGAAGGTATGGAGAAAACGAAAAAGTTTTTGCAAAGTCTAGGTCGTTACGGCAACACGCCTTTCATATTTCCAATGTACGGTTGTGGGGAAATACCACAATGCTTTTGTCGATTTTGCGCGGTTTTTGGTGGCATCTACTGTTTGAAAAAAGAAATCACTGATATACATGTCGAAGAAAATGGGAACAAGGTGATCGTAGAAGTAGAGAATCTACAAACAATTCAAGCTGATTATGTGGTTTGTTCGCCTGGTAACTTAACCGAACAATTGAAAGCAATGAAGGAAGTGAAGAACCATTTGTCTAGAGGAATATTTTTGAGCATACAGCCATTGGGCGGTGGAGAGTCGGCCAAAAATGGAGGTGGTACTGATGGAGGAGTAAATTTATTGAGGCTTCTAACATCAGATGGTCAAAGAGAAGCCATTTGCATACAATTATCCTGCCCTTCAGGCACATGTCCCAAAGGAATATGTTAGTACAATCCCAAATAGTTATAGAATGGAGAAAATTTCAACTTTTTTTCTATTTTTAGACATATATCACTTGATTTCTCCATCTATAAGTAATGATCCCGCTACTGATTTGCAACCATTTAAGGAAGTAATCTTTCCCGATCTATCACTTTTATTAATGAGCGCCTATTTTACCATAACAAGTTATAATTACGAACCGTTTGACACAAACGGCCGCATTCTTGTTACTGATCCGCCTTTCTATGAATTAGATTATGATTTATCTATAGAAAATGCTTATGAAATATTTAAGAAACTTTACAATGATGCCGAGTTTCTACCAAGAGCACCGGATCCCGAGGAAATTGTCATCGAAGGCGAGGATCCTCGTGCCTTAATCGAAAATCAGTTACCTGAAGATTTAAGAGCTCAGCTACACGAATTGGAGATGGCCACGCACAATATGGACATTGAAGAAAATATGAATATTCGAGCTGTGACTCCTAAAGCCATGGAAGCAGAATAAAATGCAACAAGAGAACATTCCTTACTAATAATTTAATTAACTTATTACATCTCTAGAGTAAAGCCTTTCTCAGTGTAGGATTTAATAAAGTTTTTGAAGTGTTTAACTGCATGTTGGAATACTTGATTAATTTTGTGCAATTCCTGATAATTTGGTGAGGCACTCGACTCGAATTAAAGTTGTCCAATTAACGTCCAAAATAAAACAGTAAGAGAAATCAACCGATAATGCGAATTTCTCAGCTGTAGAAACAAAATTCTTATATTATCAGGAGCGAATACAAAATTGTCAAACTTTAACAGAATCGAATACAAATTTATCGAAACTTTTATTCGAAGTGTTACAATTTATGGAGAGCAACTCTCTTCTCCTTCTATTCTCAACACATGGTACTTTCTTTACAAACCTTGTAAAGGAAAAAAAACCGAACGGTTTTTTGTAGAAACAAAATCATTTTACAAGTTGAACAAAGAACTTAGAGCAAAATAAACTAAACAAAAGTAAATAAGATTAGACGATTATAATTCTTTGGAATGAATGGTAGGAGCGTTCATTGAATAAAGTTATTAGTTTGATAGTCACATGTTGGAATTTAGTAGAGTCGGTGGCTCTTTAGTTCCTAGCAATTGTTATATGTGTTTATCCCTTTGAAAATATTGAAATCGAATCTTACGAGTGAATGTGTGAATGAGTGAGGAAGTGAATGCATGCGTACAAGCTTGAAATCGTTCCGCGGTATAAAAGATAGCCATTCGCTTTGAAAGGTGCTGCATATAGGTTAGATTCGTACGATTAAGCCAGGGGCTACTTGAATATCGCTTCATTAAGATGGCTGTCTCCAAAAGAAAAAGAACCAGGTCATCGGAAGAAATACTAAAACTGTTCAATCGATTAAGGAGCCTACAGATGCGCAAGCATACAACCGGCTTCAATACGAAGAAAGAAAAAGAACCAGGGCACTGGAAGAAATACTAAACCTGTGCAATCGATTAATTAGCCTACTGGTGCTCTAGCATACAAGCGGCTTCACTACGAAGAAAGAAAACGGATCAGGTCATCAAAAGAATGGTAATTACGTTCTCTTCAACAAGACGAGTTACGAAATTGAAGCCCAAGCCGAAGAAGAATTTATACCATTCGACCTCGATGTAGAGTCTCAGCTACTCACACTATGAACAAAAATAATGAAATTTTTTCCTATCATTTATTTCGTCGATATCATGTAAGCCTCTTTTTGTATAGCAAGCTCCAAATCAAAGAATTTAGCTAAACTTAACAAGCTGAAAGCAGTTTTCATATCACTTGCGACGCCAAGACTTCAATCCGATGTTTGAATAAGTTTTAGATTGTCTAGCGTGGCTATTATATGCTCCAGTTCGCCCTTATTCTGTTCCATCTTATCCTTGGCCATATTGCAGACTTCTTTTTTGAGTTCGATTAAATTAGCTAATTGCTTTTCTAAGCCTGCGATACTCTTTTCCGTTTCGCTTTTCTTTTTTTGCCATTTCTGCAACTCTTTGTCAACATCAATCAACCCTTTTAACAGTAAATGGATCTGACAATTATCACTTAAAGATAATATAGCGCAACCCGCCGGGGGACTTTGTTCTAGCTGCACTTTGGAGCAGTGCGCAAGTGTGGCCACGTCTTGGGCATATTTCTCCAATATCGCCTTCGAGTATTCATCTTTCGAAACTATGTAAGCTTCAGTTCTCGTTTTATTCGGTATATTATATTCGGCCTTACAGGAACGTATAATTCGAGCAGCTTTTTGCATGAATTCCACCTCTTTTTCCAACTCCACATTCCGCCACGGCGTGATCTCTGGAAATTTCAAGTACTTTAAATTATTGTATTTGCATAAATTTTGAAAGCCTCACCTGGATAACTGGCCACACATATACTAGGTCCAGTTTCTTGACGGGGTAAGCGCTGCCACAACTCTTCTGTTATGAACGGCATAAAAGGTGATAACAATCGCAAACCGAAATCCAAGCAAATAAATAAAACTTGACGAGCCTTCTTCTTCTCATCTTCCGTGCCATTGCGGAATAATGGCTTCAAACATTCTAAGTACACATCGCATAGATCGTATAACCAAAAACTGTAACATGCTGAAGTAACACTACCAAAATCATACTGTTCAAACCCAATGTTGCACGCTTCAATTGCTGCCGCCAAACGTGATAAAATCCATAAATCAAACTTGCTCTGAGTACCGTCTAGTTCGAGAACATTGGAATATCGTTCATCGGGGACGAAATAAAGTAAAGCAAATTTGGTAGCATTCCACAGTTTGTTACAGAAGAAACGGTAGCCTTGCACCCGATTTATGTCCAAGTTGATATCACGCGCTTGCGTTATGTAAGCGCATAAAGCAAACCGAAGCGCATCAGAGCCACATTCAGGAATACCGTTCGGATAGTCTTGGGTAAGGCCTTCGGTGGCCGTTTTAATCTCATTGCGATCTAAATTGGATGCCATTAGTTGTTCTTGGAGACCCTCCAACGTTATACCGTAGATAACATCCATTGGATCAATAACATTACCCAATGATTTGGACATCTTTCGACCGTGCGCGTCACGTACCATAGGATGCAAATATACTTGTTTAAAAGGCAACTGCCCTAGTAACTTTTGACTGAAAAAGACCATTCGAGCCACCCAAAAGAAGAGAATGTCGTGCCCAGTCTCCAAGAAAGTGGTAGGGAAGAAAGTCTTTAAGTCGTCAGTTTGATCAGGCCATCCAAATACGGAAAATGGAAACAGACCTGAGCTGAACCAAGTATCTAAGACGTCTTCATCTTGTTGTAAAACAATTTTGTGGGCTTCAACTTGGAATTTTTCCGAAGCCTTTTCTAAAGCTTCAGCCTTGGAGCGAGCAACCACCCAATAATCACTATTATCCCGCTAAAAACGGAAGGCATACATAAATTTTCATCATTGAATTCATAGCATGCTATACATACTGTGCCACCCATTACTCCGTCATCGTTAAAAGTTACATAATATGCAGGAATGCGATGACCCCACCACAGTTGCCGCGAAACGCACCAATCTCGTATACCATCCATCCAATGGTACCAGATTTTCGTATGATGTTCTGGAATAATTTTCAGTTCACCTGAACGGACTGCCTCGGTAGCCTTTTCAGCCATCTCATTGCACTTTACGTACCACTGAGGTTTAATCATTGGTTCCACCACATCTTTGGAGCGGCTGCAGAACGGCACAACCATAGGATTATTATCACATCCACGATACAATTCCAATTCCTGTAGAGCCAATAGTATCTTTTTGCGACATTCAAAACGTCTCATCAATCTGAATTTTCCGCAGTCACCAACAATACGACCTTCGTCCGTAAATACATTAATAAAGGGAAGATTGTGCCGTTTGCCAACTTCGTAATCATTGGGATCATGAGCAGGAGTGATTTTCACCGCGCCAGTACCAAAATTCATATCTACAAAATCATCGGCAATTATAGGTAAGCGACGATCGCAGAACGGGTGCTTAACATATTTGCCATGCAAGTGTTTGTAGCGCTCGTCATTTGGATGAACAGCTACCGCAGTATCTCCAAGCATAGTCTCTATGCGGGTCGTAGCCACGACTAACTCTTCATCTGAATCCTCTACGCAATAGGCGAATTTCACCAGTACACCAAACTCCACTTTGTCGGAGTAACCAGGTATCGAAAGAAGAGTGCGTCCTGATATTTCCACCTTCTCCACCTCTATATCAGATATAGCTGAACGTAAACTACATGACCAGTTAACTAGACGAGAACTTCGATATATGCAACCCTCTTCATGCAAACGAACGAATGCTTCAGTCACTGCTTTGCCTAATTGAGGATCCATCGTAAAGGCTACACGAGACCAATCCAAAGAGGAACCCAACGATTTTAGTTGATCATATATACGTCCGCCCTTTTCTCGACGCCATTCCCACACCTTGTCAATGAAAGCCTCTCGACCATAGTCATGACGGGTTTTGCCTTGTTGACGCCACAAAAGTTTTTCCACGACCACCTGAGTAGCAATGCCAGCATGGTCGCAACCCGGCACCCACAGTGTGGTTCTGCCCTTCATGCGATTATATCTAGTAATAGCATCTTCAATGGAATTAGTTAAAGCATGACCCAAATGCAAGCTGCCAGTAACGTTAGGGGGCGGTATCACCATAACGAATTTACCCTTCGAATTTTCATCCAAAATGCTGGAAAGCTATAAAAAATAGCATCGACGGAAATTAGAACATGTGTGTTAACTGAAAAATGACTGAACCTACGCCGTATTCAGGTTTAAAGAAGCCCTGCTTCTCCCACCAGCTATACCATTGAGCTTCAACATATCGAGGACTGTAAGCTTCAGGTAAGGGACAAAAGATATCTTTCATTTCGCCTGGCGCAGTGTTCGAAGTATAAACTGCTACTGGCTTCGCATCTTTCGTCTTCTTCTAAAAAATAAATGAGCATAACTTACTTTTACTAAATTATTTCTGCCCTTACCTCCGGTTTTTCTTTCTTTTCCTGTGTTGCCTCCTGAGCCGCTTTCTTCTCTAATTTGGCTTGTAATTTTGCCAATTTTTCTGCTTTCTTCGCTTCCTTTTCTAACTGTTTTGCAGTTTTCGTAGGCACATTTCCATCAACAACAGCAGCACTTTCATCAGTTGCAGTATCACATCCTGCTTGCATTCCGCTAACTTGCGTCATCCCAAGTTAATAATAT